CGCTTGGACAATATGTGTAGTGGAAGTTGGAGAGGAAGAGCCAACTTCAAAAGAAAGCAGAAAAAAGAAATCAAATAAAAAGGAGAGAAAAGGTAAAAATCGAAATCAATAACAAAGATCAGAGGGCAGACCGCAAGGGAAAATCAGTGAAAAATATAAGACGAGAGAAATAAAAAGGAAAAGAAGAAATACATATGCCCAAGAAAGTAAAATTAACCAGGAAAGAAAAGGGTTGGGTTAAAGAGGACGAGGACGAAGACGAGGAGTAAAAGAGGCACATAGGGAACAGAAGCAGAACTCCCTTACAAGACACCACGGCTCTCGCCAAAACTTTAAGCAGGAAAGACCAAACTCCAACCACCCCTTACTCCTCAAGCAACTCAATCCCATCAATCCCATACCCGAAATCCATAATAACAGTCCTAGAATCCTGACTGGTCGCCACAATCCTCCTATAGTCCGACTTCGCACTCAGCATCCAACTCGTCGTCCACCCGGGTAAATCAATCCGCATCTCCCCACTCTTACTATCAAATACCTTAACGCTCATATCGTAGCTGCCGCTCACAATCCGCCCGTTCGAAGAATCCATATGCAGCGACCGCACCAGTCCAGTATGCCCTTTCAGCTCATTCACCAGCTCACCCGTGTTCGCGTCGAATTGGTAGATTACCTGGTCATTGCCGCCTGCAAGGATCGTGCGTGCGTCTTCGGAGAATTCGACGCAGGCTAGGCCCCGGTCCCGACTGGGGAATTCACGGATACAGAGGCCTGAGGTGATATTCCAGAGCTTGGCGACGCCGTCGCCGCTGGCAGAAACGATTAGGTCCCCGCGCAGCTGGACGGCGTTGACGGGGCCCCTGTGTCCAAGCAGTCTCTTGACGAGCTCACCTGTCTTCCTATCCCAGACGCAGATGGTAGTATCCTTCGAGCAGGAGATGATATATTTATCATCGAAGCAGACGTCTAGGACGCCAGCTTGATGTCCCACCAGACGGCGGAGGGCTTTATAGTCGTTTTTGATATCCCAAACAATGCAGGTGTAGTCTGAGGAGCCAGTGACGAGTATTTCGTCATCGAATTGGAGGCAGAGGATTGAGGCGCGGTGGTAGTCGGAGGTGTCGGAGGTGGGAATTACGAGGTCCGGGGATGAGCGGGCTGGCGGGCAGATGCTGATGAAGGGGGTTCGGGCGATGGGGTCGTCGGGTGGATCGATTACGAGGGGACCTAGGGTAAGAGGGGATTTAGGGTCGGGGGGTGCTCCGATGATTTTGAGGCAGGGCCATGGATAGTGTGCGTCCCAGACGCGAATGGTGCGGTCGCGGGAGCCGGTGATGATTTTGTTTCTAGGTCTGGTTAGAATAAGGCACATGAAAGAGAACAAACAGTAGGGGGACATACTCGTCGAATTGAACACAGTAAACACTATCCTTATGTCCATGCAGGTAAATCGCAGCAGCCTTGCCCTCTTTCCAGCGAGCCTCCAACATCCGACGAACAGCAAACATCTTCTTCCAATCCTGGTTGGGTAGAGAGCGTCCCAATCCCATGGATTTGGATTGTCCATTCGTCATTTTCCCAGTCTGAGGCCGGCCCCGGTACTCGCGACGGAAAACTTCTCTCCAGACATGGTGAGAGACAGCCTGGTCGTGCCATGCATGGGAGACCAATTCTGCTTGGCTGAGCGAGTCAGCGTCAAGGAAGGAAAGGATATGCGCCATGAGTTCGGCAGGCAGATAATCCATTGGGTCTATGACAGATTGTAATTAGCATCAGAGTAGCCAACTCTGCAGAGAGGTAAACAGGTGAAGAACCATTACCTTTGCGCACAACATCCAAGTCATCAACTTCTGAGACATCGACATGATCTTGCAGATCAACATCAATGCCGCTCTCCGAGTCCTCTCCAGCAACATCTGCCTCCTCAATTAGGGCTGTATCCGAGTCGAATATCTTCGAATCCCCCCGTGAACCCATACGACAAACCTTAATCATCTCATTCTGGGCAGCAGCAGCAGCTCGTGCCGCGGCACCGCGTGAAAGGTCATCGGGAAGGATTGGCGGTTCCGAGCCGCTCCCCGGGATCGCATCTGTCACGCAGGGAACTGATGATGGTGGTGTACAGTAGCGGCCCAGCGCATTGAGGCTACCGAGAGACGGACGATGGGTTGCACGACTGGCACCCCAGCAGCCCATGGCAGCTCCTGAATCGGCAGATTTATAGTCATCGGATACATTGCCATCATCGTTCCCTTCCATGGCTCTTGACAGGTTATATCTTGAAGATTTGTTGCGGACCGTCAGAGATAGGCGGCGTGCAACAGCCCTGAGTTCGTAGACCCCGTGACGCAGGCTGGAGAAACTCTTGCTGGGACGATGTCTTGTTTTTATGTGTGAGTAAGCGTTAGTATCCTCTGGATCAAGAAGGTCCGGTTGTTCAAGAGATTCAGGATGTCGTTGGATCTGTTGTTTGGGTTGGTGCTGGTGCTGTTGCTGTTGCTGTTGCTGTGGCTCCGGTTGTGGCTGTTGTTGCTGCTGTTGCACACCGCCCAAGTCATATGCTCCTGTCTCGTGGGAGAAAAGGGCCATCAAATCACGATGACTTCCATCCTTGTGAGGAATCCATACACCAGTATGCGGACGTGAGGGTAATGGTGGAACGGGAATATCGGCTCCAGCAGTGCGAGGACGAAAGCTGGAAAGTAGAGACGGTCGTCGACGGATTGAGCGGGCTGTGTTTGGTGTATTGGGAGCCATGGTGGGGGATCGGACCTTTTGAGGATAAAACAGCCAGCCCGTCGATTCACCCGCCGTTTTATCAAGGACCGAATTTTGAACTGGTGACCATAGAGAAAACCCCTTAATTAAATTTGGTCGGTAAGAAAAGTATTTATTTACATATGCATAACCATAAAAAAATAAAACTTCCGGAGAAGAGTTTTCCATAACCGAGAAGAAGTTCGCACAAGAATTTAAGGAACGGTAGCCAGACCTAACCGAAGGGAGGGGGGGGCAAAAAGAATTTGAATAGAAGGTTTGTGAAAAACTGGAGAAAAGGCATTCTGCCGATCTGCAGCTGTTACTGACTGGTACCGTTAAAATAAGGGGATGCAGATAGTGCAGCTGATAGTGCAGACAGGAGGCGGCCCTTAGAACGGGACCAGGGAGGAACTAGCTAGCCAGCTGGCCTATCAAAACGGAAGAAGAGAACGATTGAAGTAAACCGGTGATAGGTTAGAAGGGAAGAGGAAAAATCGACGAAAGAAACGAAAATCACGGCAGCCAAAGAGAGAAAAAGGAGAAGATCACAAAAGGAAGAGAGAGGAAGTGGGGTGAAGCAGGTGTTTAGTAGATGTGAGAGGTTGTTGTTGAAGATCCCAAGAGGGAGGGAAAAAAAAAAAAAAAAAAAAAAAAGGAGAAAATCCTCCTGTAAAAGTCTGTTTGCTCTGTTTGCTCTGTTTGCTCTGGTGGTTGGCGGTGTCTCAGTCAGCCAATGGGAGCCCCGAGAAATGCTGAGGTTGCCTTGTTTCAAGATCCGCGGAACTTCGTTTGGCCGTCGCCGGGCCACGATTGGTGGGAAGTTCTCGGCCGCTAGTCTGTTTCAGGCCAATTCGCCTGGCAGATTTTTCACGCTAGCTGTATGTGGAAAGACGGTGGCGGGAAGTGGGCCTATCAGAACCTTAGATAGCACAATGGCCTTGGCTTATAATTAACGAGGAAAGTTTCGCCAGGAGAAAAGAAAAAGTTGAGAGACGATCAAGCCACGAATGAAACAGTTAATAACAGATAACTTATGCGCTATTGGATGTTGACAGGGGAGAGATGCGGTGGGGGGAAAAAGATGATAGGTATCTGCAGAGATCCCTATCTGATCCATCTGATCCATCCGATGATCCAGTGCTTGGACTCCATGCTGTTCTTTGTCCCTATCCACCCATACCCCCCTGACCAAGGTTCGAAGTTGGTCTCTCGCAATGTTTTGTATGACCTCATGCACCTCCGCTCCGTCACAACCACAGCGTGACACACACACACACACACACACACACACACACACACACACACCTTGGGCCATAACCAGGGATCCCTACTTGCACGATCACATCAGCGAAAACAGAAAAATGTATTTACCCGTGCCAAAGTGTTATGTACATATCCATTTATACCCGCCCCGTAAGGATAATATTTACAAAACATTCAGGCGGCCAGTCAGGAAATTCTGACGGTGTGATATCTTTTGAAGAAAATTGCTGGTGTAGGGTTTGCCTGTGGTAGATAATTGACTTCCTGCAACCGAAGCCTAAAATCCAACGTGCTAAGCTGGAGGAGGTATTAAGAGACTACAGGCACATGCATGCGCTTTGTTTCTTCTTCGCTCCCTGCCTCGGTGGGCAACAGGCCAAAAAGGAGAAAGCGGTTGGGAAAAGGCGAATAAAAAAGAGGGCAGTCTTTCTCATGTCAAGCTTAACAGCGGTAGTTAGTTCACTATCAAAAATTAATAAACACCCAGAGTCTTTCAGGTACAACAGCCCATTCTCTCAAAACACTTTATAACCTAACAGAATCCTCCCCTCAAATCCACTTCTCCGCTGCCAACTCCAACATCCTCCTCACATGCATCCCCCTCACTGCTCATTCTGGCACGTAGGATACCCAAAACCACTACCCATCGCCTTTGTAGACAGCCCCAACTGCCCAGTCTTCCCACCACCCTAGTTGTGAGACTCACCCCAAAAACTACGGGTTGCGGATGCTGCGAACGAGTAACTAAGTTAACTAACCCACAGCTTCCATACGCGGTAGAGTTCCGTGGTCAGGTGTATTACACACGCTGCTTGCTCTCGATGATGACAGGATATTCACGATGACGGCTGTTGAACAGCGTGCTGCGATCCACACCTTACATTTGATATATAAGTTTGGATCGTGCGTGCATGCATGCATGTATGTATGTATGTATGTATGTATGTATGTATGTATGCATGTATGCATTGTATGTATGTGTGTTGCCGCCGTGAGACCTTCCGAGGCATCAACGATCCATCCATCTAAGCCGGCCGGAGTCAGGACGGGATTGTAGAGGGAAATGGGGCAGCATGGCTACAGTTGTGCATGGAGCTAGTTATTAACATTAGTAACGTTATGCTAATTGTTAAGTTAGTTAATTAACTCCTGACTGGTAAGTTATTCCATTGTTCGGAGTCGAATCCTCTTCTTCTTTGTGTCGTCGCATCCAAACATTAGACGGATTTGTCTAGTTTCTCCGCATACCGGCGGGCGGCCCCTTGAGAGTTATATGATCCATCCAATCTGTATTATACCTCCGGTGCTATCTATATATCCAGCTTACTATGTCTTCCGGTAATCCTCCTTCCTCTTGGTTTCTCACTCCTTCTCATACTCCCTTGTACCACCTCAATCGATCGCTATACGGAAAGTGTTTGAAGAAGTACCATATTCCCCGCTGAGCATCTGTGTTTTCTAAGCACATTCAATATGGCTCCTCCAGACGTTTTGATGGTGAGAGCTTTCCCCCATAATATTCTCGTCATAATAATCTCGGAGAACGATTTGGATTAGAAAAGCCTTTCTGACCGCATATTGTATCTGCAGGTAGGAACAGGAGAATACACCACCGGCTTCGTGGGTGGTGGTCCATCCAGTTCAGACAAGAAAGTCGGCGTCGTGGGCCTGACATTGTTCGATTTGCGGAGGAGAGGTAAAGTAGGCAACTTGAGCATGGTGGGCGTGTCCGGTTCCAAGTTTCCGGCTATCAGTGAGTTTGTTTCCCTCAGAGTTCACACACACACGACCCAATACATATTATTAAAACCTATTTAACAGAAGAATATCTCCTCCAAAACATCTCTCACGTCTACAACAACCTCGACGTCTCCTTCCAATCCTTCCCAGCAGACGACCAAGTCGACCCAACGGCCTATAAAACCGCCGTCGATGCCCTTCCTCCTGGCTCCGCAATTACAATCTTCACCCCAGATTCCACCCACTACCCCATAGCCCTCTACGCCATCCAACGCAAAATCCATGTCCTCATTACCAAGCCCGCCACAAAGCTACTCACAGACCATCTCCACCTGCTCTCCGAAGCACGCAAACATGGCGTCTTCGTCTTCATCGAGCATCACAAGCGCTTCGACCCAGCCTATTCGGATGCGCGTGCCAAAGCCCGCACGCTAGGCGACTTCAACTACTTCTACAGTTACATGAGCCAGCCAAAGAGCCAGCTGGAAACGTTCAAGGCCTGGGCGGGCCGCGATAGTGACATCTCGTATTATTTGAATTCGCACCACGTGGATATCAGCGAGAGTATGGCGCCGGATTATACGCCGGTGAAGGTGACGGCGATGGCGTCTAAGGGGGTCGCGGTGGAGTTAGGTTGTGCGCCAGAGACGGAGGATACGATTACGTTGCTGGTCGAATGGAAGAAGAAGAATGAGCCGGGAAAGATTGCCACAGGGGTTTATACGGCGAGCTGGACGGCACCGCAGAGTGCCGGGGTGCATTCGAATCAGTATTTTCAATGTAGGTAGAAGTCGGGCCGTTTGCCGTTTCGCCGTTCCTAGTTTTTCCTTTTCCCTTAAAGCATGCGTTGGCGATGGTAGCTTGCAGCTCATGAGACCGAAATGACACGACCGGGATCTTTAGGGATGGGCTCGAAGGGTGAAATCCGCATCGACCAGGCCAAGCGCGGCTATGATGTAACAGATGACAACAAGGGGAATATTGCCTGGATAAATCCGTAAGTCGACATCTTGTCATTCCCGCCTGAAAAATCTACCGCTTCCAATCAACAAACCTTTCCATAAACATTCCACAACATCTCGACAAAACAAACTGTCCACATAGCGAAATTTCAGATAACCCCTCACCTGCCAATCTATCAATATCATTTCCTGTCCAAACTAACTGTTCCCTAGATTTTACATGCGGTATGCCCCCGACGAAGAAGGCAACTTCGGTGGTCAGACGGGCTACGGCTATATCAGCATCGAGAAATTTATCGACGCCGTAAATGCCCTGAACGAGGGACGTGTGACGCTCGATGAGCTAGATGAGCGAGGCCTACCGACGCTTAAGAATACGATCGCCACTACTGCAATTCTGAATGCGGGGAGAGTGTCGCTGGATGAGGCCCGCACCGTAGAGATTGAGAGGTTCGGTGGCGACTGGCGGTTGAAGTGAGGTGGGGAGAGTGTGGAGGGGCAGTATGCAGGGGAGTAGAGATGGAGGATTACGAACCGTTCCTTTTGATTGCTCTTCGAACGTACGAGTGATCTCTATATTCTTTCCTTTCTCTGTTGTATCGGAATGCTGTCTCTTCTAGGTAGGAATGTGTTTCGCGCCAGATAACGTATCGTTGAAGTTGTGTGGGGAATGAAAAGCAAATAGATTGTAACGACTTATCACAAGAAAAAACATGTATGAAGGGGAAGAAAATACCGCGCAAAAGATAAAAAGTAAATTAAAAAAATATATATAGATAACCTACAGAAGATTGGGTAAAGCTGTCAACTAAACATTTGGTCCAGCCAGTCGATAATGGTAATGTTGAGGCTTGAGGCTTTTTGGGATTTAAGTGGAACGGTCCCTTTGAGGAAGCGTGCTAGAGAGAGATTTTGATTTTGATTTTTTTTTTTTTTTCAGTTGCCGGCAATTCAAAATTGCAACGGCCCGCCCAACCACATGTGTGAGGGCATGACCCGGCTTCAATCTTGGATTAAAGTTCGGGTTTAACTACATAAACGGACTTATTTATCCGAATGTGAGATCATCGTTGTGGTTCTAGAGTGACAGTGCGCCTTAGTAGGACAATGCAAATGGAGTTATATACCGGACTTGATCAAAGGACAATATAGTCGACTTACAGCACAACGATATAGAGTCGACTCAATTGCAAAACGTGCAGAAATATCGAGATGCTAGGTCACGGTAGACACTATCTTAGCTGCAAGAGATACGATTAGTTTTTGTGACACAGAGAAATATGGACTTCGGGGAGTAAGGGAAGCTGAGGAAAAAGCTCTTTAACTGACAATTTTACCAACAGATTGTCTGTCAAAGGTAATCTGAAAAATTGAGAAATATAAATTTCTTTGAAAAGGGATATTAGTCTTGACGTGCCCTTAGAGCTGGCCAAGAGAGGAGGTATCAAGGGAATATCCACAACTGACAATTTCAAAACGAAAGCAAAACTGTCAACCACCCAATACTGCTGAACTCCAGGGTATTTTATTAGTTTGCTTCTTTCCCAAAACTAGTCGACAATAATGAGATAATTAGGGAGGAGCCTTTGATTGAGAACTTACCTTGGCTGCCATATCATAAAGCCCGCAAACAAGATCGCGATCTCGGATTCATTTGCGTTGAGATCATGTCAGGGGGGTCTTTTGGTGATTCGGATTTGAGGGGAGGTGGAATCAGCATTGTTGGCGAGCAACACAAACAGACGCTTAGCTGGGATGAGAGGTAGTTCTCGCAGAGAGGGGTTGTTCAAGGCTGTCATTAAACACTGGACAAATCCTAAGTAAATCGAAGGTTAGTTTAGGGTAATGCATATATCGCGCGAAAGACACGACTCTGCAGGATGATAAATGGATTGTGGGATGCTCGTGTTGGGTGTGTTGGTTGTAAGTTGTAGAAGTGGAAGTTTGTTTATTGTTCGAAGTTGAGGGGAAATGACGTGTCGAGGCGAAAAATCACGTGTAATTTAGTTGACAAATGACATAACGTTAATAGTTAACTAACTAGTAAACCACCAACAGTAACTAGCTAGGGTTAACTAGTTTATTTGGTAGTTATCCATGCGCCACCCTTCAGCCACACCTTGCGGCTCCTTGGCGTTGTTTATTGGTGCACATGTCAGGTACCGCTCTGCCTCAATGCGGCCACAACGCGGTTCTACCGCCGGGTTCGATGTTGAGTTCAACGGCTGACCAGTTAAATTTAGGTAGACTTTGACCATGCATGTGCCCTGAGTTTTGTGACTAGACTGTATGGCTTGTGCATACGCGCGAACCGAGGCATATTCATAAAAAATGATCAAGACAGCTAAACTATGCCATGGAGACGACGTAATGAGGTTGAGTCATTTTGATGGGGGGATCGTTGTTGGGAAGCGGAGTCAGATTAGTGTCCTCAGAACTCTCAGGGTGTTGTTTTCTCCAGGTGCCTCCTCTCCCATCGCCACTAGGACTCGGACAATATCCATGAGGCTTTGCCAGATCCCTCCAGGCAGTCTTCTTCAAAACTCCCTTTCACCATCCACTCTCCATATCCGATTATCATCATACAACTTTTCAGAACAGGGTTTGAACATTATCGCCAATGTCGGAGACTTGTATGTGCATGTGTGACTGAGGAACCCATTCATTCGCTCGTAAATTGAGTCTAATTGGACAACTCGATGGGTGACAAATTTCTCACTATTCATGCCATCAGGTGAAACTAATGCCTTTAAGATTCTCTGCTTCGTCTCCCCTCTTTCCGGTGTTTAGCAGCTTGTAACCTCCATGGCCACGCCTGCATCCAACTTGGAATAAGGATCAATCTCCTGGACGTCAATGACCGGACAGGAGAAGTGGGATTAGAAGGAAAGCGGCATAACTTGAACTGCGTAGCAACGTGAGTCTCAGCACGAAGATCAGTTACAGTTTCACTAAGGGCGTAGTTAAAATAAAAATAATGGGGCGTACAGTTCGAATGTTGGTTTTAAATCTCTGCCTGAAAAGCCTTCAGCGTTGTTTATGACATAAGCCATGACCATTAAAACTAGTTACATGCACTAAGTCAATATCTCACACATCTCTCTATGGAGGCGGTGTGAGGTTGAATAGTGATGTATAAGTAATACATGTGGTGTAACTAGACTGTTTATTATAAGATGAGCCAAGAGTTGAATTCTTCTTCTACCTTTTTTTTTTTTTTTTTTTAAAAAAAAAGTAGAAAAAAAAAAGTAGGCCCGACTTATAAACAGTCAACTATGCGGAGGCGTGAGGGGAAGCCAAGAGGTAGAAAATAGAAAACCCTGTTGGGCTAAGGGTCGGCCGAGCCAGAGGGAAAGGCCTCCCTCTACCTTGCGAAAATTTTTTAAAGCCCAAGCTCCTCACCCAAGATGATACACCAGGGATATCCATCTCATAGCTAGCTGTAAATGTCTCAAAAAGATATTGATTTGAGTTCCATGTGACAAACCCAAGTTATTAATGCTAAGAAGGGCGCAATAACATTGTGCAAAACATTCCATCAGGATAACTCCAATGTGAAGAATGGGGGAAACAGATGCAAGAAGTTTTAATAGAGAAAAGATTAAGGAAGAAGGGATGTTTTTGTGTGTAACAGGGATAACTCTTCCATCACCTCACCTTGGAAATTATAACTAGGAAAGGGGGGAAATGTCGGTGTTTATATCTTCGAGGTTGGCCTTGCCAGCCGTCCCGCGGACGCCTCGCTGTACGGTAACTATGTAAGCGCTCAGAACCAGAGACCACAGCGCCAATCGAAACCAAACAACACGAACACAAAAAAACTGTGGGAGAGGGCCCCATTTTGGAAACGGACAGAGAATCCTGAGATCGCCTCTAGACAACCTTCCAAGGCCACTAAGGGAAGCTTCCAGCAACTCGTCGATAAGGGTACCTCAGCGGGCAGGATGGGCGGCAGAGAGACAAACCCGCAGCCGTTGACGGTTCGCAGCAAGGTTGGTTAGTCAGCCTCACTGGTTATTGGTCTGGGCCTAGTGGAACGCCGACCTGGAGCCGGCCCCTGATTGGATGAATATGATTGGTCATCCACCGTCCAGGGGCAGAGTTGGCCAATCAGAGCGTCAGAATAGCCTAGCCTGCTTGCCGCTCTGAAAGCATAAAGAGTTCACCCAAACCCCGATGGGAACATCATCTTCGGGTTGCTCTGATCAGTCCTCTGGAAAACAGAGTGGATCGGGGATCATAGATCGTCGAGCAGAATGGCTGCGGTGGCTACGTTGCGACGTCCTCGGTGTCAGCCGGGTGTGTTTGACACCTGCCAGTCCACTGCTCCGGGCCTGGGGCCTTGTAACACCAACCTCTCGCTGTGCTTGGACTAGTGAGTATATATGGTGGCGGGCTCCAACACTCCCAAGAGATACCAAGCAGCACAGCCCCAATGCTCCTATCCGTATATATCCACAGCCAGCAGTGCAGCACCCCGTCAAAATGCAAAAAAGGTTGGACAGAAGACTTCGCCTGAAGTCTGTGTTGCTTCTTGATATTTTAAAATATGAGATCTCCCTGCATTCATATTTTCATAGATACTCACTTGACATTATAAGTCCTCTGTTTTGTTCAGGCTCACAACCTGATCCCCTCCCTCATCTTCCTCCATACCTCTCACGATAAAAGGTGGTAACGAAACCTTAAGACACACACCTTTTTTTTTTAGCCTTTGGTGTCGTCAGCGACCGCACCAATGGCGAACAACAGCAGATTGCTTGCTCCTCCCATACTCGTTAATACCTCGGTATGGTAGAAGCCCGGATATGATTAAAAAAAATCCATATCTATCAATCTCTATACTGACCTCTAGTAACAGCAGATCGATCAATCGAGTTCAGACTCGAGATCTATCAATGAGGATGCTATCTCGCGTAACAATGATAGCTCACTCCTCGCTCCCAACAGTCCCGCCTCGTACGATGGAGAGACTCTCCGCTCACGGTCGGGCTCATTCCTTTCAAATGTAGAGACCCTGAGATCAAGAGCCGGCTCAACGGCTCATTCAGTGCCCGGCAAGGGGGATTACGATGACGTCCCCTTATCCGAAGCGTTGAACCCAGACCAGAGAAACGAAAATGATTTCCAAGTGGAAAATAACCCATTCGCCTTCTCCCCCGGCCAACTGAATAAAATGCTGAACCCCAAGTCTCTCAACGCGTTCGTGGCGCTCGGGGGGCTTCATGGCTTGGAGCGTGGCCTCCGGACAAATCTCACGTCTGGTTTATCAATTGACGAAACCAAACTCGAGGGAACCGTTACGTTTGACGAGGCGACCAAGAACGCAGCATCTGGGAAATATCAGCCTGAATTCAAGCACGAATTGGCAAAAATGCCCACCGAGGCTGGGATCCCGGTTGAATCGCAGTTCGTGGATCGTTTGCGGGTCTATCAGTCCAATAAGTTACCAGAGAGAAAGACGGATGGTTTTCTAGTTCTTCTATGGAGAGCGTACAATGACAAAATCATTATACTGCTTACCATTGCTGCTGTTGTCTCTCTTTCTCTCGGACTCTACGAAACATTCAGTGGAGGGTCGCCGGTTGATTGGATCGAGGGTGTTGCGATTTGCGTGGCGATTCTGATAGTCACCCTTGTTACGGCTTTGAATGACTGGCAGAAAGAGCGGCAATTTGTCAAACTGAACAGAAGGGTCGGTACTCCTCGAATTCTCCTTTTGGCTCTGCCCTTTCTGAAAATCCCATTTTCTAACCAAACAAGCAGAAAAACGACCGTCAAGTCAAGGTTATCCGTTCAGGAAAATCAGTCATGGTCTCAGTCCACGATATTACTGTAGGCGATATTTTGCACATGGAACCCGGCGATGCAATTCCAGCGGACGGCATTTTCCTTTCTGGCCATGGTGTCAAATGCGACGAATCATCCGCGACGGGAGAATCAGACCAGATGAAGAAAACCTCAGGATATGAAGTTTGGCAACGCATAATGGATGGTTCAGCCACAAAGAAACTCGATCCTTTCATCATTTCTGGGAGCAAGGTTCTGGAAGGTGTCGGCACCTACCTCGTCACTAGCGTTGGACCCAATTCTACTTATGGCAAAATTATGATGTCACTACACACTCCTAACGATCCCACGCCGCTCCAGGTGAAACTAGGAAGACTTGCGAATTGGATTGGAGGTATTGGGACAGGGTACGTGGCCCTACAACTTACGCCAATATTTTGATAAGATTTTTTATTTTTATTTTGTTAGCTTACGATTATCTATAGCGCGGCCGTTGTGTTGTTTACGATCCTTCTCATTCGATTTCTTGTGCAGCTCCCTAGTAATCCTGCAAGCCCGGCGGCGAAAGGCGGCGAATTTCTGAATATTTTGATTGTCGCTGTCACGGTCATCGTTGTAGCAATTCCAGGTAAGCATTTCATTATATACTCTGCACTTTATATAGTTGCAATTTTTGCTGATGGTTGTTATTTAGAGGGCCTCCCGTTGGCTGTTACCTTGGCCCTGGCATTCGCGACCAAGCGCATGGTTAAGGAAAATAACCTTGTCCGCATTCTCCGTGCATGCGAAACAATGGGCAATGCGACTGTTATCTGCTCAGATAAAACGGGCACTCTCACTCAAAACAAAATGACCGTTGTAGCTGGAACTCTAGGCATTGAGGACAGCTTCAACCAAGCTTCTGAGGATGGTGAAGGGATTTCAAATATGACAGCGAAGCTCAAGGGTCTTTCTCCCACGGTCCGGGATCTCCTCGTCAAAGGCATCGCTTTGAACTCGACTGCCTTCGAAGGCGAAGAGAAAGGCCAAAGAACATTCATCGGAAGCAAAACTGAAGTTGCCATGCTGAACTTTGCACAGAATTATCTTGCATTGAACAATGTGGCTCAGGAGCGCTCCAATGCTTATATTGTTCAACTCATTCCATTCGATTCTGCTCGCAAGTGTATGGGTGTTGTTGTGCGCCAGCCGCCGGGAGATTATCGACTTCATGTGAAGGGTGCTGCGGAAATCTTGCTGAGCAAAGCCAGCAAGGTTATCTCGATTACCAACGATAACCGATTTGCTCTGGAAACACTCTCAGAAAGCTCACGGAATATGGTTTTGGACACTATTACCACGTACTCGAAACGTTCCCTTCGAAACATCGGCATGGTATACAAGGATTTCGAATCGTGGCCTCCAGCTGGCGCAAAGACAATGGAAGATGACAATACGTTGGCTGACTTTGACAATGTCTTTCATGATATGAACTGGGTTGGTGTCGTGGGTATTCAAGACCCACTGAGACCTGAGGTTCCCGCTGCTATTCAGAAGTGCAATAACGCTGGAGTTTCCGTGAAAATGGTGACAGGTTTGTATTGTTCCATGTTCTAGCTTTTGTTGATGCTTGTCGGAGCTTAACTAACTCGCATGTGATGCAGGTGACAATATAACGACTGCTGTCGCCATTGCCACGGAATGCGGCATCAAGACACCAGACGGGATCGCAATGGAAGGACCCAAATTCCGACAACTTTCGGACAAGGAAATGGATAAAATTCTTCCAAATCTTCAGGTTCTAGCTCGTTCATCTCCTGAAGACAAGCGGATTCTAGTTGCCCGGCTTAAACACCTTGGGGAAACTGTGGCTGTCACTGGAGATGGCACTAATGACGGCCCAGCGCTGAAAACTGCTGATGTTGGATTCTCCATGGGCATTGCAAGTACAGAGGTTGCCAAAGAAGCAAGTTCAATTATCCTTTTAGATGACAACTTCAAGTCCATTGTCACTGCTATCTCTTGGGGACGGGCAGTGAACGACGCCGTCGCAAAGTTCCTTCAGGTTAGCCTCTAATTTTCTCTGTCCATTTTTGAATATGTGGACACTAACTTTGGGTCATCTTGTTAGTTCCAAATCACTGTTAACATCACTGCCGTTTGTCTGACATTCGTGTCCTCCGTCTCAAGCAGTCGTAATCAGAGTGTATTGAGACCGGTGCAATTGCTATGGGTGAACCTCATCATGGATACCTTTGCCGCATTGGCGCTGTAAGTTCGCCCTAGTCACACAGTAGATACATCTTTAAAATATTATACAGATCTACTGACATGCGGAGGATAGTGCTACCGATGCCCCCACGGATAAGATTCTCAACCGAAAACCCACCCCGAAATCCGCCCCACTTTTCACCATAACAATGTGGAAAATGATCATTGGCCAAAGCATCTACCAGCTCGCTGTGACATATACCCTCTTTTTCGGTGGCGCCCGCATATTCAACTACGACACCACAAATCCTATTGTCAAACAACAGCTCGATACTATCGTCTTCAACACCTTTGTCTGGATGCAAATCTTTAACGAATTTAATAACCGTCGCCTCGACAACAACTTCAATATCTTCGAAGACATTCTGAAAAACTACTACTTCATCGGCATCAACTGTCTCATGTTCGGCGGGCAGGTCATGATCATTTTCGTTGGTGGCGAAGCCCTCTCCGTCAGACCGATCACTGGCGTCCAGTGGGCCATTTCCATCGGCTGTGCTATAATGTGCATACCCTTCGCCATTCTGATACGCTGCTTCCCGGACCCGTGGTTCAAGGTCATCTTCGATGGTGTCATGGGTACGGTAGCAGCTATTCTGAAGCCCATCTCCATGGGCTTCAGCTTCGTGTTTGCGCCAGTCAAGAACGCAATCCGCTCTTTTGGCCGTTTCTTTTCGCGGATCTCTTCGAAGATCTCCGGGCGGAAGGCTCCCGCTGATGGAGAGCAGGACGAGGAGGCTGCTACTGGTTTAGAAGCCAAAACTCATCCAACGGTGGCTGCGAATCCGGCAGTTCCCGCGATCACATTGTCTGTTGGCAGCTAAACTCATATTGAACATATATGTTAGCTGCCTGCTAGATCTGTACATATTTATGACGTTAGGATGGTTCTCTTTTTGCTGCGATTTTGGGGGCTATTCCTGTTATTTTTAGCGCGTTTTGTATTATTGTCCTCACCCTGTTTTAGACCTTACACTGCATAGCGAAGGCGCCATTTGGGATTTTCTTTTATCATTTTTCACTCTCGCATTTGGCCACGCATTCTTGTGCAAGGAGGGGTGGTTAGTCCCCATTCATTGCCTCTCCGGTTATTGGCATATTATCATAGAACTTCTACCACTAATAGATGTAATGAAATAGCAAAGCATTTTAACTCATACACAACCATTTTTAAATTATGTGTAGATTTTGAATATCTCAAGAGTTCGCTCTCTTACTTGAAGCAATCATTTGTATGCGTCTTCCACAAGCTTGGTCGAGGTCTTGGCATTTGCCATGATATGCCGCTGACATAACTTTTCCAAAGTCCCAACATACCTCCATCAACTTCAACTTCAAAATATCCAATACATCTGCCCTTGGAACACACCTCAATCAATTCCATTTCATGTCTCCTCTGATAAACATCAATCCAAGAGCAATCCAAACTGAACACCAGCAAAGTTGAAATCATTCAACCCGCCGGCACACCACCCATACAACCCCCCGTCTATCCAACCTGTTGCTCCCAACCACACCAACAACGAACAACAACGACTGGCGCAATGTCCCTTATAAACTACCGCACCGTCAACGTCGACAGCCTCGACCCAGAATCCTCCGTAAACTTCCCCCTAGAAACCCTTTTACCGGGAAACCTCCCCGCCCCCACAACCTCCAGCGAAGCAGCCAGCGTCGGCTCGCAGATTCGCCAGCTGCTACGGTCGGGCGACTCGGAGAACGCCTTGCGCCATGTACTTGACACAGCGCCATTGGGCGGCGATGATAGGGCGAAGGAAGTCCATCTAGCTACGGTAGTAGAAGTGTTGGGAGGTATAAGGCAGGGGGAGATGACGAAGGTGCTTGAGAGTGTTTGTAGTGGGGAGGGCGGGTCGGACAGGGGGGATTGTTTAATGAAGTATTTGTGAGTTGTTACTTTTACTTTTACTTCTGGTTCATGTTTGGTGTGCTGGGTCCTCCAGAGGGCGGTGGGGATTTGATGAGCCTACTCTTGGATTCCGTTGCTGGTCGGTCGCGGGTTTTGCAAGGCTGACGTTTCCATGTCGACGATAGGTATAAAGGGATGGCTGCGCATTCATCTGATAATATCTCCCCGTCAAAAAAATTATCACTGTCGCCACAGAGTACAGGCTTTTCGCAAATACAGGCGCGGAACCATGGGGAGGGAGGCGGTGGGCAGCAGATGAGTGTGCTACTAAGTTGGCATGAGAAGTTGGTGGATATTATTGGAGTAGGGTCCATAGTAAGAGTTATGACGGATCGGAGGACGGTTTAAACGGGACGTAATTTTTAAAAAGGGGTCATGTATGGGTGACCTGTTGAAACCTTTCTGTGCACTCTATGTGTGGATTGTGTGTTTTTTGTTATTTATGGGAGTGGCTATGGTACATGGTTTTACTTTCAAAAATAGATATCTGGGCCGAGTTTCCGTCGGTGCCGGCATAGCATGATTGAGCGAGTCAACTAGACCCCTCTCACAAGAGGGAGAATACACAGAGCAAATAGCCAAACATTCCTGAACTTCACCGCTGCTCAAAATCCCTGCCTCCAAGTATGTCTTTAAGATTCAGCTCTCCACTACCTCGCGGGCAGGCGGCTGTTTCTGTCCCTCCCCTTCCTTCCACCCAATCATATAAATCAGCCTGAACGTGGCAGGAATCCCATCCCGGTCCTTCTCCCCATGGAGTTCCTTATATATAGCATCACAAGCAAACAAAACATCCCTTGATATCGGGCCAGCCTCCCGTCGCAGAATCGCATTGCTCTCCCCCATCGCCTGCAAATCCATCATTAAGGCAAACGTATCCGGATACTCCACAACAATATCCTCCATATCAACGGTAAGCAACTTAAAGCCAGCCTTGGTCAATAATCCGCCCACATCCCGCACGTCAGCCAAAGGCGAAACATGGGGACTCACGCCTCCACGCCGTTCAAGATCCGCTAGCTGCAGCGATGTGCGTAGCTCGAATAGCGTATCACCACCAAACATTGCAGCGATGAATGGTGCGTCTGGCTTAAGGATATGGTTTACTTGTGAGAGGAGGGAAGGGAGATCGTTTATCCAGTGGATCGAGAGGGATGAGAGGACTGCGTCGAAGGTGTTGGGTTTGAAGGGGATGGATTCGAGACTAGAGACAACTTGGCGGGTAATATCCAGTTGGGAATTGAATGGGAGGTCTTTATCGCGGTATAGGAGGGCGGGGGATTCGTCGATACATGTGAGTTTTGATATTCGGCTTGCAATGGTGGGATGTGGTGATGATGATGGCATGGTTGAATGCAGCTGCTCTTCCTGCTGTTTTTGCTGCCTCTTTTCTCTTCCTTTGTCCTTTTCTGGAGGAGGAATTGGCTGTGTGAGTGCTTTCGCGATGTTGCAGCTGTTTGCGCCCAAGTCTAATACGTTCGCGAAATGTCGGTTGATATCCTGGGCAAGCAGCGGTGGACAATTAGAATTGGGAATTTCCTTTCTCAAATATGCAACAATTAAATAGCGGGGGCTTTCTTAATCACGAAGCAAAATAAAAATATTCCATACAAGTAGTCGCTCACTTAGCCGAAATGCGACTTCATCTTTGAGATAGTCTACTTTGCGACTCAGCTTGACGTTTCTTGCCGCACGTTCCTTTTGTAGTAGTTTTGCCCTGCGATTGAATACCTCTAGGGTTGGAACTCCTGGAGCCTGCACCGCAAATCTTCTTGTAGAGGTGCATATCCGATGTTGAAACGGAGGGGGCTTCAGGAGCCGGGGCCAGAGCAACATTGATTCAAGACAGTGTATTGTTTTGAAAGATACGTATTTAGGCGGAGGTAGAAGAAAACTTCAGGGCAGCATCGCAGACAAAGCCAGTGGGGTAGATTGGTGTATAATAATATAAATATTGTAAAAAGGGGTCCTCTAGAAAATTGATCTGTTTAGATAGCAAAGAGAGTAAATAATAAGTAAAATTTTATGTTTATTGCTGGTGACGTTGAAGGTGGAAAATCTGAAGCTCCAACGACCATCAACCACCAACCACAACACCCCAACCACATCCTCAACATATGCGCAAATGTCACAACAACGCGGTAGTACATACCGCCATCACTGCTCCACAGTTTGATCGTGAGGAATTATGGACTGACATTCGCTCTGTACAGCTTCGCAAAGGTCCATCCTCCCAAACTTATGACGATTTATTTGGTTTTTGCGGACACAGAGAGCAACATCACACCAACAGCCAGCCAGTCTTTCATTTTCTCCGCATTGAATCGCTGGGAGACTTATTGATTGACCAAGGGACCGGATATATTGGGGTGCTTACCTGTATCCCTTCCAAAGGACACGAATTCTCACTCTTTAATATCGCCAGAGCCGCAAATTCCCCTCTCTAGGATCCTGTTCACGAGCTGAAACGTAATCCTCCAATGCAGTTTACGAGCTCCACAAAGGCATAAGAGTGATTTCTCAGCTCTTGTTTTACGGCCCGTGTCTCAATCTGTTAAATAATGTCTCGTCCTTTTCCCTACTCGTTCATATCATGTCCCTGCGCGGAGACCTCGACTGCTCCCACCCCTGCTACAAACATACTCTCTAAGGACCTTTCAAACCTCACCCTTAGCGGTCAACAACAAGATTCCGATTCGGATGAGGAGGAACAAACCTTTGATCCGAGATCACCTCGAGCGAATTACTCCCTTTACCCTCCCGAACACCTTTTATACTGCGAGGATTGTCATCAGATCAAATGCCCCAGATGCATTACAGAAGAAATAGTGTGTTGGTATTGTCCAAATTGCTTATTTGAAACACCAAGTAGCATGGTCAGAAGTGAAGGGAACAGGTACTATTTATATGAAGTTGGAGTGAGATTTTAAGAAGCCTGGAGAACTAAGCTTGGATATATAGGTGTGCGCGCAATTGTTTTAATTGTCCAATATGCACGTCCCCCCTATCCGTTACAACCCTTGGGAATGCTGATAACGGAGGAGCTCAAAATGGACCTTGGATACTGGCATGCGGATATTGCATGTGGACAACACTTGACATTGGAATTAAATTCGACAAGCCAACGAACATCCGTGCTCAGCTTGCCGCATTAACCAATGACCCAAGTCGCAGCCCACTGGATGCCAAATCTCCATTATCAACCATCGCTTCCCCCGACGATACAAAACCAGCTGCCCTCCCCTCCCAGGATGATAAGCTAGCTGGGACTGCTTTTTCAGAGCAACAATCGCCACCGCCAATGAACCCCGCGTCCCGGTTTTCGGCTTTGAAATCATTTTATAGAAACCAAATCACGGAGACATCTTCATCCCCAACAGATCCCCTGATGGGCCCCGAAATAGGTAGTTTTTACTCATCCCCCAGCGCCTTAAACCGCATCATGTCTCTTTACTCTGCCGGGTTAGGCAATCTCCATGGCGCTGGTAGCAAAAAACCCAAGTCCAAACCGCCAGTCATGCGCGAGGCCCTCACGCCAGCAGAAGGCCTTTACATCCCCGACCCTAACGTTGAACGATCAATCATTCGCAAAATGGCCTCCCCCAACTGCGGTTGGGACGGGCTAGCCTCTGTAGAACAAAAGATGTCCCAGCCCCCCTCAACAAGATTTGTTGATGAGCTCCGACCCCTCCCCGTCCTCCTTCGAACCAAAAGATCAAAACGCTGCAAAGCCTGTAAACACATCCTCGTCAAACCAGAATTCAAACCACAATCAACCCGCTTCCGAATCCGTCTCATAGCTCTTAGCTACATTCCACTTACCATCATGCGCCCACTACCTCCCTTCCCCGCCTCTTCCCCACCAGTGAAGCTCGACGCCCTTGTGCCTCGCAAACCCGTCCAATTACTACTTACTATGAAAAACCACATGTTCGACCCCATTCGCGTCACACTAGCTACCCCCTCGCGAACTCCCGGTCGTGTCGCGTCGAGAGTCACCATACTCTGTCCGCAATTCGAAGTTGGTGCCAACAGCGACGTATGGGATGAAGCGCTCGCATCATCCGGGGCACTAGACCCGCGCTCTTCCAGATCGGGGCTGGATAAAGTCGCTGAAGCGGGGAAGATATGGGATAGGGGACGGAACTGGACCACTGTGGCGATGGAAGTTGTGCCCGGATCACTCGAGGGTTTAAGGGATGAAGAAGGAGGCGAAGATGATGGGGTTGGAGGTGGAATTGGGGAGGATGAAAATGTCCTTGAGATTCCGGTGTTTGTGCGGGTGGAGTGGGAGGCAGAGGGAGGCGCGGAGGAGTTGTCTATTAAGTCTGATACGAAGAGGCAACAGGAGGCTGAGATGGTGAAGAGGGAGTTGGCTTATTGGATGGTTTTGGGAATTGGGAGGATTAAGGGTAGTAGTGATGGTTGTTAGTTAGGTGGAGCAGGTTAGACAGCCTCTTCCCTCCCCCCTTTTATTTTCATTTTATCATTTTTGGCGCTCTTAAACGGGAGTATTTCCTCTTGATTTGTTTGTTGAATGTGTTCGATATTTGACAGGCCCTTATCTTATCGATTGAGGCTGCTTGCCTTCATCTTTGCCATAGATATGTAAATTTGCGAAGATCCCAACAATACCCTATTTGCATTGCCATTTTCCAGTTGTCTTTCTACACCTCTTTTTCATTCTTGGATTGTTCCTTTTTCATGATAGACTCATCAATGCATTTTACGTACAGCGAAAGAAGTTAATGCAGACAAACACGGAGCAGACATGGGAACTAAAAAATGAAATAGGGGAACAAAACAGAAGAAAAAATTAACACAAAACTTCAAGATTGCGGAATCTATCGCCTTTTCCCATTAGAAACGACAAACTTCCGAACCTATTTTGTTGATTTCTTGTACTCCTTTTCCCACCCGACCGTATGGGGGAGGGGAAAGAAATAGTAATGAGAGTCCAGTCAACAACAACCAGCTTTCAACCAGCATCCTGACCCTTCTCCCCACTAACTCGCAAGCCATCCATTGAAGAACCAAGCCATTAAAAAAAAGAAAGGTGTAACTTAAAAACATTCTTTTTTTCTAACCAAGTCCTCTAAAACTCTGTAGCACTGCTCTGGGGGAACTCGAACCGAACACCACGGCCCGTCAATCTCCGGTAAACCTCGCCATATGCATCAAGGCGGTGGTCGACACCACCACGCTCCTTCTCGTGCAGGATGACCTTGAGAAGCTTGCTGCCGTCCTCCTTTGTTCGCAGGCGCTTGCCAACAATCTCGACAGGGTAGACGATGTCAGTGAGGATGGCATCGTGGACGGCGGTGAGAGTGCGGGAGCGGGGGCGCTTCTGTTTCTGGGAGGTGCGCGAGCGGGAGGAGCGCTTGGGGCGGGGCAGGATGCGGCGGGAGGCGATGATCAGGACGTGGCGGTCGGAGAATTTCTTCTCAAGTTCACGGGTAAGGCTGCAGTGGTGGGCGTGTTAGTTAAATGTGTGTATTTGCCTTTTTTTGTTTTTATAAAAAATATATATTTGGGTGGTTAAGGGGATGTTTTTATGGACGGATTTGCGGTTTGCGGTTCGGGTAAGGGTAGTTGGTTGGACTTTGGCATACCGTTGCTGGATCTTGTGGAAGCCTTGGAGGAGAGGGACTGGGACGAAGATGACGATTGCCTTCTTTCCGTGGCCAACTTCGATCTGTATCATTCGGGAGACACATATCAGTATATGGGTTCAACGGAGGTTCATCCATATTCAACATTCCACAAATCCCCATCTCCTGTCGAATTCCTCCTATGCTTCCATAGGTTCCTTCTTCCATTTCTTTCGCGCTCATAATACCCAATCTTCCACATAACCCAAAAATTCTTCTCTCTATCGTTCCACAATTCCAATACGAGAATCCCTAGCAGATAAAATCTCCAAGCACTAAAACCCCACAATACATTGCTCGACCTCTCCTATATCAAAAAAAATAAAAAATAAAAATCATACTCAATTGCTTACCTCACGGGCAGAGACAAACTGCAAAGGTCTGAGGGCAGCCTTCAAATCTGGGGTGTTGGCCTCCAGGTCCGAGAGAGCACCGGCGATAGCAGTCTCGAGCTCGGAGGGATGCTGCCGCGAAGGGCTGTTGGCCGCGATCTTGTTGAGAGCAGCCATAATTGCAGACAACGGAAGGGATTGGGGAAAAGCTGCTGCTGTCTTTCCTTGAGTCGGTAGGGAGAAGGAAAGTTGTTGGGAAGTTGGCGGTACGGTCGAGATTAGACTTGACTTCGCTGCTGTTTCTTCAGATGCGGTCTGCAATTTTCGTGGGTGTGGGATCACGGGCTCTTGGCTGCTCGCTTAGCGGAGTACGCGTTGCCTGATGCGGCTAGCTGATTCCTCTTTATGGTATGGCGCCATCTCGTGATTTACCCGCCAGGTAAAAAACATTGTTCAACTTCTCGACATACAAAGGGTGAGAAACAACTACATCTCATGGATTATACTGAGGATACCAGGGTATTGGTGAGACGGCAACTCCAAGGACTACTACAGGCATATATGGCATTATACAGCACATACAAAAGACTTGTGCAACAAAGAATACATATTCTAGGTTAAAAGAATCCAGGCCATCTGACACCCTCCAAACACCAGGCCCCGTTCCATATCCAATCCATACATACAATTCACCTTCTTACCGACTCTTCCTAATCAGAAAACTTTGGCATGTCATACATGTCATCAGGATCTAACAATTGGTTAGCTGATTGTTCCAATTGTTGCATTGATTGAAAAGGGGATACAAAGGCCACAACTCACCTTTGTGATGCTCAGAGATGTACTTCAACGTCTCATTCATATCGAAGTCAAATTCCGAAAGCAGCCCCTGTCTCCTTATTCTTACTCCCTCATTTCTAACTGCTCCGCCTCGAACTGCAGCCTGGGCTACATGAAATCGAGAAACTCTGTTGGCAAGCATCATATCAAACGGCGTGGTGGTACTCCCTTCTTCCATATATGATGCAATCGTAACTCGTTCGATCTGCTGTCTTCCAAAGAGAAGCCCCTTCATTTCCGTCTCGTATCCATGGTAATTGAAATGGATTGGGCGATCAGCTGTAAAAAGGGCATTAAATGCTTCGTCTGACAGTGCATGAGGATGGCCAGTCTCTGCGCCCAGAATCATCAAGTCTGTCACATTTACAACGCGCACACGGAGCTCTGGAACACGTTTCCTGAGTAATGCAGCGGCCTGGATGACCTCGAACGTCAGTTCTGTGCCGATCCCCGCCAGGACGACGTCTGGGTCCCGCCCTTCATCTATGGAGGCAAATTTCCATACCGAACCGCCCGCCCGACAGTGGCTTTCTGCTTCCTCCGGGCTTAAGATCACCGGTGTGGGCTGCTTGGATCCAATCATGAGGTTGATATAATTCTTGGGTTTCAGACAATGACACAATGTGCAAAGAAACGTGTTTGCGTCTGGTGGCAGGTAGACACGGGCTGCATTCGGTTTTAAATTCAACACCGCTGAGATGAATGACGGATTCTGATGAGAGAATCCATTATGCTCTTGTCGGGTCCAGGTGCTGGTTTCGATGTAGTTGATACTTGCAATATCACGCCGCCACGAAGTGTCTCTGCCCTATCCAATAGTCAGGAAAATAATCACATCTAGGCTTCGCATTCAAGAAGGAAAATCGACTTACCATCTTAGTGAACTTGCAAAACTGAACCATCATTGTGTGGATGATACCGAGGAAACTTTCATAGGAGGGGAATATTCCCACTCGACCCGTCAATGTGTAACCTTGCAAAAACCCCTGACACAGGTGCTCGCTTAATACTTCGATAACGCGACCACCCTTTGCATTCGAGAATTGGTCCCATTGGAAATTTCTTCCTGTGTGCGCCAATACTCCACCAAGCTTGTTGCTCTCTAATTCATCAGGAGAAAACAGCCGTATTGAGTGAGGATTGTCGATGAAAACTTGGTCAATCAATTCAGCAATAGCCTTCATAGAGCTTTCCTGCGTTCCCTTTTCGACTCCAAATTTCCTCCAGTCGGCTAGCTTGAGAGGCTTATACGATTCATACACCTCATCTCGCTGGCCAAGTTTCCTCTTATCATTACGAGGAATGATGCTATTAATGTCGTCACTCACACCACCGTCTTCGGTAAACAATTCCGCCGGTTTATACGAAAAGAGCCATGCGTTCAACTCCTTTAATTCCTTTTCGTCTGTTTTAGCAGCAGGCAAGGGTACTTGGTGGGCCTTGAATGACCCTTCGATAATCTGACCGTGGATTTGTTTTGGGCTGGTTCATCCCTGATAGTTTGGTCAATACCATTAGCACATACAATCAAACACATGTTGCCCAGTTTGCAAACTAACCTTGGGAGTGCGTAGAATCAGTATGGGCCAACGGGGTTTCGTGACCGGATTCCCGGATCGAGCAGCTTTCTGTATCTTGCGGATCTCACCCAGGGCCCATTCTAGAGCTGCATTAAAATTAGCGTCAATATGTTCCAAATCGTCGATAATTTGTGGATGATATCCATATCCGGCGAATAAGGCAACAAGCTCGCGGTCATCCATGCATCCGAATATAGTTCGTTCGCTGATCTTGAACCCATTGAGGTGGAGGATAGGTAATACAGCCCCTGATTCTGCAGGGTCAAGAAACTTGAATCCGTGCCAGGATCTTTTGGCAACTATATTAGTTTTTCTATCTTTTATCTTTTCATATATATATATTTATATGGATCGCATCCAATGCCCAAGGGTGTTTTACTAACGCAGCTGTTGGCCCAGTCTCCGCTTCGCCGTCACCAATGATGCATGTGGCAATCAAATCCGGCTTGTCCATGACAGCACCAAACGCAACTGATAATGCATATCCCAATTCACCACCTTCGTGTATCGCTCCCGGAGTTTCGGCGTTGATGTGACTATCGGAAATGTTAGCTTTATGTCAAATTCTAGGCCGTTGGGCACCGGTCTCTGAAAGATAGAAGGGTGAGATGGCTTGAACCTTGGAAATCCACCCGGGGTGCTGAACGAAGTGACCAGCTTCGTTAGGCCCTTTGCGTTTCGAGCATAATCTGGATAGAATCTCTCCAGAGAACCTTCCAGCCAAAGCGCAGCTAGGATCCCCGGCGCCCCATGGCCTGGTCCCACGACGTATATCATGTCAAGGTCATGTTGGGATATCAGGTAGTTCAAGTGAGAATAGACAAATGTCAATCCGGGGCAGGTTCCCCAGTGACCTTCATATCAACCAGGCTGCCTGTCAGCCAAAGTATCATTTTCCATACACAATGCAATTGCGGACGGGATTTTGAAATATGGCTGTACCATACCTAATAACCTTGGCTTGATATCATCAAATTTCAGCTCACGCTTCAGATATGCATTGTCCTGGAGGTAAATCATAGCTGTATATTATATTCTATGCTTCAGCACACACACTTCCCACACCTGAGCTCATGTTTCAGGACGAAATGTGGTAATGAATAAACTCACCAGCAGCAATATAGTTTGCCGCACGCTGGAACTTTTGTAGCGATCTGAAGACATTTTCATCCAGTGAAGTCCTGGACAGCTGGACGGCCAATTGATCTATCAGTGGAGGCAAGTGAGACGGTAATGACTTTGGATTAGCTTTGTCAATAACTTCGCCGGGCATTTTGTGTAGGTATTTTATTTTCCGAGTGTTTATATATATATTTGTTAATGAAGTTGGCAGTTCTGTATTCTGTATCCAAAAACTACCAACCTAGTATAAACTGTGTCGAATATACGAGGGATGAGAGCAAAAGATTTAGTGAATACACTTGTTAGAATAGCACATCTTCATCGCCCGTCCCTGGAGAAAGTTAGATAAAATTGCGGCTAGAAAGCTGGGATATGTTATGGTTTGACGTCATCAACGGTTTGACTGATCAACAGCAAGTGGAGTAGAAACCCAAAACAGGTTGACAGTATGTCATAGTTTAAACCACATTTGCGGGGGCAAGAATTGAATTTCGACTAAAATCATTAGAATTAAATAAAAGGTTGCAGACATGAGCAGAGTTGGGAAAAGACATATTAATGCAAGGATACGAATGAAGAGAGATATTCCATATATCTGATGAGAGTAGAGCGCTTTAGTTCAAAGATAACGGAAAAGGAGATCATTCAATCATGGCGCGAGTAATCCTCTCCATAAACGCAGGGTCCTCATCCATCAAAGTTACGGTCTACAAACCCGAGAAACCGCCGGTCAAACTCGCATCTGCACAGGTGGCTGGCCTCACCGCACCCCCCCGTATCTTCGAGTATTCGAAAGGTTCCAATAAGCAAAAGAAGGAGATCCAAGACGAGATCTCGACTCCGCAAAAGGCGTTTAGATATCTTCTGGATCACTTTTTGAAACACTCTGAGCTGGAGGAGGTGACTGGCAAGGATGATTTCGAGTATCTGTGCCATCAAGTGGTACATGGTGGGGACTTCGAAGAGGAGGCGGTTATTACGGAGGATTCGTATAGATATCTTCAGGCGTTGAAAGAGCTTGCGCCGCTGTATGTATAGTAATCAAGTTATAATTATAAATCCATATTTCAACGGCAAAACGAAAGCTAATCGTGGACAAATATAGACATAACACCTCCTCCTTAGAAATAATAGATACATGTCTCCGCGAAATTCCCAAAGCCAAAACGGTGGCATATTTCGACACCACCTTCCACCAGTCAATGCCAGACTATGTCAAGACATATCCCATTAAGCCAGAAAAAGCCAGAGAGAACTAGCTTCGAAAGTATGGGTTCCATGGCACAAGCTATTCGTTCATAGTGCGCTCCGTTGCGGAGTTCCTGAAGCAGCCTATCGAGTCGACGAATGTTGTTGCGCTGCATCTGGGAAGCGGTGCATCTGCATGCGCTGTTCAAAATGGGAAGTCGATTGATACATCGTATGTTCTCATGCTTTGTTTGCATACACGCATGGTGCATCCTGGCATATATTTCGATATAGATTAGTTTTCGATTGACGGTTTGTGTCGAATAGGATGGGATTGACCCCTCTTTCCGGACTTCCAGGAGCAACAAGGAGTGGAGATATAGATCCAAGGTAAATATAAACTCATGAATTTGAAGTATCTTCATGAAAGATTGTGTAGCGGAATGGATCTAACGGAATCCATAGCCTTGTTTTCCATTACACGTCTGGAGCAGGGAAATTGAGCCCGGAAAGCACGAAGGATATGCACATAAGCACGGTATGTCAGTTCTATATATATTGGAAATTTTGCAAGCAAATTTCCCGTCTTCTTTTTTATATGCCTCAAACCACACAACACGCAAAATGAAATACTCCCAGCCCACCTCGACTTACCCCTAACTACCACCGACCCATCTCGCAGGCTGAATGCATCCTCAACAAACAATCTGGTTGGAAATCCATGACGGGAACCACGGACTTCTCGCAAATAGCTACCAAAACCCCAGAAACAGATCAACACCGGCTGGCCTTCGAAATCTTCATCGACCGCATCGCTGGCTTCATTGGAAACTACGTCGTGAAGCTCGATGGTAGGGTGGACGCCCTCGTCTTTGCGGGGGGGATCGGCGAGAAGAGCTCTCTTCTGCGAGAAAGAGTAGTGAAGAAGTGTAGATGTTTGGGTTTCGCCATTGATCCGGATGTGAATGGGAAAGGGGTCGCGGGTGAAAGGGTCACTGTCACGGATATTTCAGAAAAGGGAGCCGCAGCAAGGAGCATGGGAACGGGATGGGGGAAGCAACCCCGTGTGCTTATTTGCCAGACAGATGAGGAGGTAAGCAAAGGAGACTTTATGCAATTTATTTCATCACAAGGGCCGTCATTGTCGCGCCTTGCATCGCCCACAATGGGCAATGTGTTTGGCAGAAAGAACTGACTGATTCTGCACACAGTTCGAGATGGCGTTCAAGTGTGTTAACTCATGCCTTTAATGTTTATCCGTGGAGGTATTAAGGCGAAAGGTATGTTAATAATAATCTCATAATAGAGAGCGGGCGGAATCCATAGCACATATCAAATAGATATAATCTCCTCCAGGTAGCATGAATTCACATGGTCAGCATGGCAGCTAGCTCATCGAAATCGTGATCAATCACCATATCAGGTTTGGGATGTTAAGCCAGCTCCATCCTCTATTGATATTGAGTCGCGTCGACCTGCTAATCGAGACATCATTCTCCCTATTCCATTTCCCAGCCTTGGATTCAGCGGGCCTCAGGCTTCTAGACTCATATGTCCAGCCATGATTTGATGAAAATGGTAAGTGGATGCATTCTTACGATCCATCCTTTGGCCGGCGTTATAAGATTTCACGATATAATCTGATCATGTTCACGAAATTTCCAGTAACATGTAAACGCTTTCATACAAATCTAGACTGTTCAAGATAAAATTAGCCACTTGCAGAAGAGTATCTATCGTATAAGATGTATCATATCACATTGAGGACTCGGATCTTACCCAATGATCGACAAACGGCTATTCGATCAGATCACCAAAATCGCACCACCGAGCGGGATGAAGGTTCAACGTTGGAAGTTTTGAGAGCCACCACAGACGCCACTCAAGCTCACATCCTATCAACTGGGCTTTTATTTTCTTTCTCTTTTTTTCATTCATTGGCAGTTTGTAAATTCTTTGACCACTATTGGTGTTTTGCAAGGGATATTTTTTCCTCTTTTGTTTCCGTTTTTGATTGTCAATTGAGTCTTCATAATTGATTGGTTTTTCCTGTTTCCCTCTCTTTTTTACGAAGTGCTCCCACAGAAAATCTATTAATTAAGTTTGAAGAATAGATTTTCTCAATGACTCTGGAGAGAATGGGATGGGGCATGCATAACCGCCTTCCAGCCAAGATATTGCAACTGTGCTGCTTCTATCCGTCTCCTTCGTCTGCTGCGCTTTGACACAGTCGAACCAAGATGCCAAGTTGACCTGTCATTTAAGAGATAAGGAAAAATTTCCCTTGATTTTGCCCTTTTCCAATTGTTTGCTTCAATGAATTCTCCACTTGTCAACTTTGAATGTAAAGTTGGCGGAGATCTGGGTCGAAATTTTCATGCGTTTTGGCTTCTGCATAATACCAAAGACTGAAATTTTAGGATCGGCGGCTTGCATTATCACTGTTCCAGACATTGGCGGTGTTGTTGATGAGACGAGAATCAAGAAAGCCCGCATCTGTGTATGAGAAGAATGAATGAATCCTAGAAATACATCAGTCGAGAAAAGAGAATCGGTGATGGCTTTCGTAGATAGACGGTGAGTAGGATACGGGTGAAGCAGTCGGTATTGAAGATGTGTTTTTTTTTTGAAAGCCTGAAACTTCTTGTTGCTATGGTTGTGTCCCTTGCGGCCAAACCACAATTTTCTGAAATGCATGTCTTTACAGCGTTTGGAGCACCAAACGAAAATAAAACAACAATGTGTCGATTGTGTTTACAACGGTTGGGCAGCATGGCTGTTAGGTTTTTTTTTTTTTTTTTTTTTTTTTTCCCTTGACAGCAGTTCGTTTGCTAAATATGCAAGGCCCCGATGGTACATACACTCTTTATTCAAAGTATACAGAGTGGTGAACAATTGTTCTTTGTTAATAAAGACCATGAAGCCGAGCCGTGCTTGCAGAAAAGCTTCATGGATGTGTTAGTTAGTCATGCCCGTGATCCTTTCATGCGTCCTTAAATATTTTGGAGGCAGAGAATATCATTTCAGCAAGGTGGCATGTTTAGGGAGATATGGCGTAGGCAGTGCATTAGATGAATACGCCCTCTGGATGAAGCATAATAGAGGGCTCCAAGTGGTTGGTGGGTATTAATAATAACTATTCGTCTCTCGTTGTTAAAAAGAGGTATTTCTTTCTGTCCAAAGTGATGGAGGCTGGGGTGAATGACACAGATTTAAGAGTTGACATCCTTTCTGCGACATGCCGTACAAGAAAACTCGGTACAGTACATGGGGCAAGAAGATGCATGGTCTTTTGCTAAAACAAAGTTGCAAACCCCAGTCTTTAATGAAATATTGATTGACATGTTTCAACTGTTTGCCAATAACACACACGAAACGAGACCAACAACCAGTATATGAAAGAAGGGAATCCGATGAGAAGAAAACAACAAGTAATCGTCCCGAGTTACCTGGGGAGCATTGAGGAACCTGGAGACGCTGGTGATGATAATCCCGAGATGAAGATTTTTGGCGCCTCTCGGTTTTTCACAACTCGTGAGCCCATTCATTCCCTTCCAAAGTTCCCTAGAATCCATACCAGGTTGTGCCGCACTTGATGAAAGGTGAGAACACGATCAGCGGCACTATTGGCACCGCACCTCGCTCTCAACCAACCCTCTGTGCGGAGAAGTCTACCCTGCTGATCCTGGGTCAAGGAGATAGAGCCGGAGGGTGACGTTGAGTTTTGTAAGGTGCTGTAGATCCCGAAGTATTACGGTGACTGTGCCATCTAACTACCCGCAGCTTAACCATTAAAATCAGGTTAAATCCATTCAATGTCCACCGTTGGTGTCGATCACTCATCATCGACTGGTGATGACCATGCAACATCGATAGAATGGGAAGTCGAGAAGAAGAGTCAAGTTCGTCGGAACAAACCCTCCATTCCATGGTTGGTTGGATGGTTTGGATATTGTTAGGGACGTCAGGTTGATCCCTGTGGAAATGTACCTTCTTTTAAGTCTAGGTAATATATAGAATGGGCCGTTTTTGCCAGGTATGATTTATCAAACGGATAGTTCACTGTGCCACGTGACTCTGATTTCTCTCCGACCTTTTTGCGCTCCCAACACTGCAAAGGAAATTCTTGAGCTTCTCTAGCACCATCGTTGTTGGGGTATGTAAAAGGTCACCCTCCACCATTGCACTCTATTCAGCGTGATTTAAATTATCGGCTATCCATTCTTTATCCCAGCATCCTAGCTTCCTCTGTCTCCTACCTGGGATCCCCACCAAGTTCGAAAGATTGACGGGTTTCTTAGGCTAACAATAGGCCTAGTGCGCCTCATGCTCGCTCTCTGTCCTCATCAACTAAAGCAGTCTAATGCAGCGGGAATGCAGGCCAGTTGCCAATTGACTTGCTCACCCTGGGCCCTTCTCAGGCTTTCTTCAGACATTCCATTGCACGGGTGGGGAATGGCGTGGGCGGCTTGCAGTAGTCCCATCCTGTGTCCATGGTGACGGATCACAGCGAGAAACCCTAATTGTTATTGTCGTTCTGCAGTTGAAATGGCAAAACGTTAAATTACGACCGCTCGAGTAGATCAGCATGTCACCAGTGGAGACTCAAGCCTGGACCCTTTGGTATATCCAACAACCCTCAGCCAAGAAATAGCGTAGGTGAGAACTAAGGAAACAAAACAAATAATATATCGATTCTCCAATCGCCAATCGAGTGGAGTAGAGGCGACTTTTATCTCTAACTCGCCGCCGGTCCGTTCCACCCAAGCGCCGCGGGGTCCTCCAGCCATTCGGAATGCGCCTGGCTATCCCGCAGAATATGTAGCTAGTTGCTTCTAGCTCATTTAATGGCAAGAATCACAGGTTGGTTGCAAATTAACGTGTGAAAATTCGCAGATCTGATTGATCCACAAGCAGACATGTCGATTTTTGTTTGCAATGGCCCATGGCTGGAAATAAAAGGGATTCGCTTGAGACTACTTGGGCCAGCGCTATTAACCGACAACGGTCAATGATGGCTGAGCATAGGCAAAAACTCAGTTTTGTTTTATCCCGCGAAGCCATATTTCGCAATCAAGAAATTCGATACCAGATTTAATCCCGATCAAGGCAATGTATCAGGCTGGGTCGAATTGATAGATCAAAAATGATTTTCTTTTTCTACTGTAACTACGTGTATGAAAACAATACCCAATATCTTGTCTCGCTAGCGGCCACTTTGATACCACCTCCATTTATACTTATGTTTTCTTCTTTCAAGCATCGAACTCCCACTTTTATTATTCACCTGAACTGTACAATATTGTACCGTATAACCGTGGCCGATGGACCAGAGAACGACCAACCTTGGAAACCGTTTCCGCCACGTGCGTCAGCAACAACGCGGCGTCATTTATCGAACCCCCCAAATTGATGTTAAGCAGAGACACCGGGGATGCATTAATGCCACTTTTCGAGAACAGTATGACTGATCGCGAAAACGTTGCCAAGTGACCAAATCGCGTTGAGTTTAACCAAACCTATGGAACACGGCAGCTCTCTCTACCTTACCACAAGCAACGTCCAACCAGGAGGATTCAACCTTTTACCAACTGGGTGGTAGTATCTGAGCGTCAGAAACGATCTCAGCCAGCAACAATCAGGCCACTCAACATTGAAACTTCCCGCGAATCTCAGCAGTCTCGGGTGTCCTTGTTCGTCAGATCACAGCCTACAGTTTACTCGATGACGGAACATGGCCCAGCGAGGCTGAAAGGAACGTAGCAGAAGCAGGCCTCGAATCCCATGAATCTGGGTCCGGTTCCGGATCCGGGAAGGGCTAAATGGCGCTGCAGGAAGGAGGGTGATATGTATCTACGCAATCCAAATCAGAAGGTTTGTGATGAGGGCAGAGAGAAGGAATTGATGAAAGGTGGGTCTGCATTCACACCCCCTGGTTGGTTTGAATGCTCTTGCTTCTGGACGTAAGACGCCCCTCGATCGCTCTCTTTCAACATTCTCTCCTTCCCTTCCTCGAAACTAGAAGCCGCTGGGCTTGGGGAGGGGAAAGGGGGGGGGGGGGGGGGGTGGGGCGTAGTGGGGTTGGCAGCTCCCGGACCCGGGTCCGAGGTTTAGGAAATCAGGAGATGGGTTTTGGCGAAGCTAATAGTGTCTGATCGTAATAATATTTTTAGCTACGGTTAGTGCTGTAAGCACCCCAGCAAGCCGGCCTGGCGGGGCTGACCATTATTGTTTAGGGGGTTGCAAGGTAATCTGCCACAGCCCACGGCCCACGGAAGAATATCGGTATCATTTTTCCATAGATAGGGAAACACAGAATAATGGATCGAAATCATTGGAGCCATTTGAAAGTTAGAAAAAATATCACTGTTTAAGTTTCTTTTCCTCTTTTTATTTTTATCCTTTTTATTTTTTTATTTTTTTGGTTAACAGTGCAGTATCACAGAGAGCCATCCCATGTGGAATTGTATCCCGCGTACCATCAAACTGTAACGTACAAATTTGTTTTGCAAAAGTTGTTTTTTTGGATCGATAGTTGTATTGGGGAGGAGTAGCTCTTCGACCCTGTCACGGCGGAGAAAAGAAACCTCAGTATTCTTAGTATCCATTTCACCCCAATAACATCTAACAAGTACTGTAGTTATCAATATTAGAGTAGGGTATTGTGAAGCCTGTTGATAGACAGTAATAATTACATATGAGCTGTCCATGACGAGAGCTTTCTGGGAGACCATTTTCATTCGCATAAACTTTACAGATGGGAAAATGAATAGGTATTGCGTACCCAGAATTTACACAGTTTTACCCTTCGCACAATACATTGTATCCAGACACCTCTGACTTATATCAAATGTTGAATATTGTTGCCGTATTGGATGATTGGTTGATTGGTCAGAGAGGCAAAAATGGTAAGTGTATCGGAGATTGAGAGCAATCACATTGAAAGTCGAAATCCAGCTTCTGCACCTTGCCTAGCTCAAGTTGAGCGCTGTAGTGGACTCTAGTCGTTGGACTGCTATGGGCCAAGCCTCTCTCAACGGACGGTGGGGTACAACTTGGTATTAATAGAGTTTGTGCTGGGATTCTGGAACATGTGTGGAAGTTCTCTAGAAAAAGGGGAATCCCGTTGTTGTGAACCAATCATCATGTGGCCCTGCTTTTGGGCTGGTTGGAACCTTGGAACGTTCCAAAGTTATAAAGTTGTTTTGTTGCCTATTCCATATATGTAAGGTGATCTGACGCCCAGGGCTGCTCCGTACGCAGGACACAAGTGGTTTCTTGACTTGAGTTCGATATTATTTCGAACACCAAGCTTACTCTTGTGAAAAGAAATGGGAAGGCAATTTCAGCTTTGCGCCTAGTAGTAGTTGGCAATTACGACCGTAAAAATGCGGAGGAGGAGCATCGGTTGTAAACTTGGACGGAATGATTTCTGGAGGTTTTAACTTTTTGTTCTCATCAGTGAACTGATGAACCATGCGCTGTTATCAGCCCCGCAATGTGGCATCAAAAGAAACCAACATTCTCTCTGCCTTTCTTTTCTTTTTTCCCCTTTAATTTGGGTGCTTTACTCGATTTCTTCGGTGGGCTAACTCCGTCCTTTTGCTTCCAAGATGGTTTGTGTAGAGGCTTATCTAAAAGATATTCTCGGAAAATTATCTCCATCATCCATGAAAGTTGCCGGAAGCCGTTGGATCCTTGACAATGAAATATTTATAGTAGTTGTGTCCTGTGAAGTGCTCCAAAACGCTAATTGTTTTGCTATGACATCTGGGGCTTTGGCCGTTTAGCGTTTCCAGGCGTCTGGAACGGAGGCTGAGAGCCGCGCAATTGAAAAATATAACAGTCTTAAAAATCTCAAAATACAGGAGGACGGGACTGATGCTGCCATTGCTTATTATTATTATTGGCATCAAATGCGCTTGTGCGCGGGCGAGTTTAGATTCCAGTGTGGAATGGCCCCTGTAAGCTGCCGCAGCCCCCAGGTCACGGCTTCAGCGGGGTATCCCGGAGAAGTTTGGGGCTGGCAGCCTTTAACCCTGTCGCTTGGTCAAGATTGAGAAACGGGCCAGAAAAGAAATGCCATGTGCGATGCATGGACGATCATGCGGTCATGGAAGTGAGCGTAGACTGAAGAAAAAAGAAATGAAAAATAAAAGGATGCGAGATTCCATTGATGCGTCCGATGAGAGATCTGGATGTACGGAATAACTTCGGGCTCTCCAGCCTCCTGGAGACACAGGGAGAGAGGCTCAGCAGGAAGCGAGGGAGAAACTGAAAGTTTTCTTTCTCAGCAGATTTGTTGGAAGGGGAACACACGAGCGGGCCGCGGACTTAATCTAAAGAAACGCTTAGTGGTTGCTATGGAGGTACCCACATTTGTGGCAATCAGTGGAGAAAGCTTCCATTATTATTTCCCCTGTGACGACGTTCCGTGCTTTTTCCTTATTCTTTTCCCTTCACGCTGCTGACCATAGAATGAGGGGATGAGGGGGTAAAAAACTAGCCGCAAGAAAAATATAAGAAATTAAATCAAGGTGCACATGTAATTGGGCAATTTGTTACTAATCTAGCATACAACATGAAGAGTGCATGGGGGGCAGGAAAAAAATTACCCACCCCTGTAAGCACAAAAGATACCACAAAAATCAAAAAGCTGAAGCTAGCCTGTGATTCCAAATTCTGAGTTATGTCAGATTGGCAACTTGGGTGCTTCTAGCGCTTTTCTAGCTTTCAACGGGTTTAGAAGCATTGCCATTTTAGATTCTCTCGCAACTGGCCTAGTGATGGGCGAGTTTCTCATTAGGCATATTCAGCTAACTAGCCATTCGATGATGGATTATTCACATGGATCATATTGCAACGTGGAAGCGTTTCGATATGTGTGGAGCGGCGGAGTCACCCCAGGCAAGTCCCATCACCATTAATTCCCGCTCTGGTTGTGTTGGCTCTGACACGGTTACGTATCAATTTAAATAATATTTTGAAGGATCGTCTTCCTTGGTCGTTTCGAAAGTTCATCTCGTATCGTGTCTAAGGCCACACTCAGACGGGAAGAATGTATTGGTTGACGCGCAACTAATCAGGTTCAAGGCGTTATAGGCGGGCGCACAGCGCCCTTGCTAATGTCTCGTGGGTAAGAAAGAATCAGCCATGAAGTCCATGACTGCACTTCAGGGAATAATGTGGGCAAGTCGAAGAGGTTGGCTTTTCTCCCCGGTCCTTCCAGCGCCGTTACTTGCGGATCTGGCTTCGGCTACAACTGCATTGGATAGAATGCAACCAATGGAAGCCGTCCGTTCATTATACGGATTGGGATAAGTCAAAGTTCAGCAGGAAAGCGAGTTTCGAGTCTCGACTCTCGCTTGATATACTTTGCTTCTCTTCGAAACGAGGACGCAGTCGTAGACCACGGGATAACGGCGCGCTGGGAGTATGCCCCGATATTGACTTCTGAAACAGCCAGCCAGGAATGATGATAGCTTAGGATCTCTCCGCATTATGTATTACATTTACAGAGAGGATGTGTCCATATGGATCCAACATGCAATCGCTACGTGGAAATTGAGATACCAAAGTCCTTAAAAATAATTCATGTTTGCTGTTGCTCACTGATTAATCCGGGTGGGTGGTATCTCATGTTATAGAATTTCTCACTCTTCTTACTATCGTATTTTCAGGCTGATGATCTTCTTGGAAGAGAAAAGGCTGGTTATTGAGAGAAAGTGTATTGGGAGATTGTGAGCTTAGATGAAAACAGCACAATTGCCAGTCTGACATCCAGATGGTGGCTACTTCAAACAAAGCGGCGCAGTCCATGCATCCGTGGTACGATGACCCCGGATATACCGTGGTACGATGACCCCGGATATACCGTGTATCTTGACGTCAACAAAGGGAAAAGATATGTGTGCTCCTGTAAGGACCGTTGGATGAAAGTCTCAGCAAGCGTAAGTCAATTTAAAAGTTAAAAGAACCGGCAGATACGGGAGTATGTACACAAATCCATTGATGGCTCTTCTTTCATTACACTTACATTTCATTCATTCTTTCTTCCTCTTACATTTTTGGGTAGTGAAAATCTGTGGATAATATAATCACATCTCTTGTCACCAAAGATTTTATCGTATATTTGAAGTACTTTTATATATACATATATATATATTCTTGATCTATGTGGAGTGATTGCATTCCCTCTCCTTTAAGTAACCTGCATCTGCTAGGGATACGAATGCAATAGACGCTTCCTTATGGGCTACGGCCTATAGCACCAAACAGAGCCTGTCAGCAAAAACTGAACCTTATTTGATCTAATTTTCTTTTTCCTGTCCCACATATAGTATATGTATATATTTATATATATATATATATTGGAATGTTTGGTTGTTGCCATTGATCTGTTTAGCACCTTTAATTTATCTTCATTGCTGATCATTGAATCGCCGATTCAATTTTAGTTTTTTCAAGGTCCCCAATATCCTGCTCCTCCAGCA